CAACACGGGAAACGTGCTTAACCTATTTTCAATTTATTTGTCAGATTTGTTTATGCCTAATACCTGGCTACATTTCACGTGCAAAAATATAGGTAAGTGTAAAATGCAAATTTAATTCTGAACTTAGTAAAAAGTATCCTTGCAATATGAAAGAGATATAGATTGCAAAGTAGAGAGGTAACCTACTAAAGTTGTATTTGAACAATTACATCAAATTACAGATTTATGAAATATAGAAATAAACTTATATTGTATGTACAAGTAGATATAAGTAATTTTGTCATCGTACGGAAACTCGCAGTTTAAACTAACTATAAAATTGTTTGCAGATGCTTGATGTCATTGATGTCATTAAGAGGTAGAAAAGCAGTGGAATACTTCATGCACTTCCAAGTAAGTTAGAAAAGCATTAGCGAAGCTACTTAATCTTGTACAAATCATATTAAAGTACACATTAAAGAAATATAAATATATTTTGTCATTGTGTAAGGGTTGGAATCTGTCTTGGGACAAACGCAAAAAGAGAAGCCATAAGATGTCAAAGCGCTTAATCGAAACGAAACAGAGCATCAAGAACCTCGTCGTAGAGCGAGAAGCGGTGGCAGTCTGCATCATCTACGACCGGAATTTCCGAAGATGGCAGTTCAGGCCAACACGCTGATTATTATACAGAAGTAAGTTTCATTTTCAAGTTACAAATTTGATTTTGGACGTTTCAGAACTTTTATAATTTAATAACAGAAAGAGATAGTAGCAATAACTTGAAAAATATGTGTAACGCTGATTGACTATCGTGTTGTGAGGGCGTAATTTTCTTAACGTTGCCGCGCTATGAAAGGTTTAATTTACTGCATGATTTAATTTATCCGTATGATATTGCAGACCGAGGATTGCGAAAGTAAGAAAAGTTTATAAGAATTACATTTGTAATTTATAGGACGTAAACATAGAAGAGGATACAGAGAGTAGTTCTGATTACATGGGTGAAACGAGTAACGATGAACACAGTGGGTGGTGGTAGCCAATCTGGAGCCAGTATGAAACCAGGCGATGATCTTGCTACAGATAGCACATTAAAACGGATTCTAGAGCAGGATTATGACCTAATGAGTATTAAGAACAAGGTAAGCTAGTAATTAAATTTTAGTTAATATACATATATATTACAGATAAGCTATAAAGCGTTTGTGCCGGATACATTTTTCAACAACTAAAAACTATTCCTGCTGTTTGCATTTTATTTATTTTTCATATTTAAATTAAAATTATACAAGGATTGTAATTTATGTTAAAAACTAATCTTTCACTGAAAACAAATATCATACAAATATATCACTGATATTTATTTCAGCTTATACTTCCGGCGCAACCTACTGTGATAAATATTCCAGAATCTCTGGCACAGCATTTCACTACGACGCAGTTTACGAATATCCCAGAGAAACCTTAATTCTCATATCGCAGTTTACGAATGTCTCAGAGAAACTCTCTGATTGTGTCGATTAATTATCGAACGGAAAAAGGAAAATACAATAGCAATGTTTTTTTTACGTATCGGGATAAGCTGTGATTATATAAAAAAAGAAAGAAAAAAATAACGGAAAACAGAACCGAGCAGGAACAGGACGCAACTGTATTTCTAGACAGTCTGATTTTGTAAATTATTCTACGAGGAAAACACTTGTGTATTATATATATATATGTATATGCGGATATGCGATATACAATTTGATATGATATATGATCTATGACGTTTGTTTATTATTATGTAAAGTGACAGACTTCGAAATTAAACATTAATTACTGTTAATCGTGGCGTTTTGAATTTACTCTTTTTCTTTTCTTTTACCTAAAGAGGATCATGAGAAAGTGAGAAAATTCCAAACGCTGCGAGAGTGCAGACACAATGGACATCCGAATTTTACAAAACGTGAAAAAACATTCGTCTTTTCTCATCTCTAAACTCCTCAGACCGTGTTAATATTTAAACAAAATAATTTACACGTCACTCATAGAGCTAGCGCGATAAAAAAATAAGTTAACATTCGTTGAAACAACATTATACATTTATGCCTAACAACAATTTTTTGTGCTTGCACTCGCGAATCTCTTGCCGACGTGATACTCGATTTTCTCACACAGAATTTCTTGCTATAAGACACAAAGGGGAGTTTACTTCTTGCGGAAAATACTCGACATGCTGGGCGATTCAATTTTCTGTTGAAGAGATCTTGTTCATCTTCTGGCGCATATCCTTGGCAGACATTCACCGTCGTCATCGATAGGGAAAACCCGGAGCTCGTCGAGTGTCCTGGAATGAAGATAATTTTTTTACAAACGTTTAAACATTTTTCGTTATCGAGAAAATGTGTACAGGATACATAATGTTCCGCGCGTGAAACGCGTGATCGAAGCGTGATCAACGGCCTGTCTTCGCAGGCATGGAATGTCTTTGTCTGATTTCGTAAATATTCGATCACGCGTTCCGCACCTGCGGTGACGAGCTTCTAACACCACGTGATTCTCCAAGGACGAGAATGTTAGACAGAGACCCGAAGAATCGATGAATAAAAGTACAAGTTATACGTTGCATGTATGCTAGGATAACTTGGCTCGCCCGAAAATCGGCCAGGAGGTAGACGTATCGTACGTCCGGCACGTCCTCGATTAACGTTAACGTCAATGATTGAAAGCCACGACATGAAATATAATAAATTATATGCGAGACGAAAAAGACGAGAAAATTTCGAAGAGAAACGATAGAATTTCATCGTCGTCAGATGATTGCAGATTAATTAATTTCAATAATGGATTTGATAGAATATCTGAACGTCATGAACAGTCTACTTGCTATTTCAAAAATAAAAAAGGATTTAAATGATTTTCTTTTAGCAATAAATCTCACCTCCTGTACTACACCGCACCGCGATGTCCCTAATTTAATTAATTTCTTTGCAATCTTCTAATTCGATAACACTTCAAATTGCAACAATTAAGAAAATAAGCTGAAGATATATAATTAGTAATCCTTAAGATATATGTAGTAATCCTTAAGTCCTAAGAAATTAATCAATCATAGTTAATTATTTTCCTCACATTCGATTGTGATTGATCAATTTCTCACAGCAGATCTTAATGGAACACTTAATAAAGTTGTAGGGTAGTATTTCATTGTCGGATTTTTTATATTTAAGGCCGGCTGGAGTAATCTTAAGAGAGAGAGAGATGTTATAAACTAATCACTCGATTGTTAGATATAACAGAGCCGTATATATTATCAACCTTAAGCCATTGTCTTGAAATAAGAACCGACTATGTATACTAGCCTTAATTTTACTCATTAATTGTTCGTTGCTTAGCAAGGAAGATTTTACAGAAAAATATATTGCTCTTTTTCTTACCTATATAACAGGAGATGAGGTAATATGCGAAATCGAAATATATACGCAAGCCGTCCGCGACTTCTCTGCATATATTTACTTCGTTTACTGTCTTCTCTATGGTATACGGTATTATTCACTTTACTCCGTTGAGGTTTCTGTTCGTAATATTCTCGGTTCGGAATATTCGTAAACTGCGTCGTAGTACAATGCTATGCTAATCTGACAAATAAATTGAAAATAGGTTAAGCACGTTTCCCGT